GAAGACAGTTTTAAAAAAACAAAGAACCAAAACATACGTAAAAAAACTAACATTAATTAACAAAGCATCCATGGCAAGCACGCAAGACTTTAAATTAAAAACATTATTTTTAAATGATAAATAAACTTAAAATTAAATTTAAAATCAATGATCATCAACTATGAATGATTATTTTAGATTTAATTCAGTTTTTATTAAAAAAATAATTAAACTAAACTTTTTTAAAAAAACTAAAACTAAACTGAAATCAATTCAAATCAATTTATTTTGGTTCGATTTTGTTTTGTTCAGTTTTTAGGGCAAAAACTAGTTCAAATCAGTTTGACTTGTTTTTTGGGTTAACTTGGTTTTTTCGATTTAACTTAGTTTTTCCTGTTTCAACTTGGTTTGGCTCAATTTTTTCTGGTTTGACTAGTTTTTTTTCTGTTTTGGTTCGGTTTGATTTGATTTTTTCTATTTCAGACTTATAAAACTAAAACAGAATTGAACCGGTTGATTTTTTAAAATTTTAATTGGGTTTTTTTCATGGTTTGATTTTTTATTATTATTTTTTTTAATTTATTTTTAGTTTTTTTCTTACCTTTATTATGAATTTATCGATATTTTTATTTTAAAAAATATTATTTAATTATTTAAAAAAAATATCAAAAAGTCAATTTTCTCGTTTTATGACCCTGGCTGGTATTATCGATCTTCCAAACTATGCTTATTGCTTAACGGGTAAGTACAAAAACACGGGCCGGCCTTAGAGGACATTTACAAGCCCATGCTCGAAAACCTCTAGTTACGAGCATGCCTCTCTTTCTACGAGATTTTTTGTTAAAAAAAAATCAGGAGAATTCCATCTTCAATGCTCTCGGGCTGCAGCTCCCTTGACACAGCTGCTTCCCTCTCTTTCCTTCAACTGAGCTAACCGCACCATAATCACTTAACAGTACTAACAAGTACAGTGCGGGTCGTGAGTTTTGGGCTTGCAGTGTAGTTAAATTCTTCAACATGGTAACGATTTCTTTTTTCCCCTACAGCTCAATTTTCTACGGTTTTAATTTTTGCTGTTTCGGTGAAGTTTTCGAAAAAAATTTTAGGGTTTCAGATTAATAATTTTTTGAATTTTAGTCATATTTATTGCAATTTAAATGGTCAAGTAGAGAATTATTGTTAACCTAATTGTGATTTTAGCTGTTAATTTTAGTCACAGGTTTTCATTTTTCGGATTTTTGAGGTTTTATTTGCACATTTGGTTGTTTTTTTTAATTTGATCACCTATTTATCGCAATTTAAATGGTCAAATAGAGATTAATTGCTAACCTAATTTTGATTTTTTCTGTTAATTTTAATTACAGGTTTTTTTTTTTTTTGGTTTTCATATCTGGTGATTCTTAATAAATTACATGCTTCCATTTCATTTTTACTTTTTATTTGAATAATAATTTATTTATGTTGGTTTTTTATTTTTCAGGAAGAATTCAGGAGGGCTATATTGCAGTGTGGTCCAATTGAATCTTTTGCTCTCCAGACTGTTCAAGAATTTATTAAACCTCAGGTGATTAATTTTTTGTCTTTATTCAATTTTTTTTTTTGCGCATGGAGTGCCTGCTGATTGCTGCCGTATGATTGAATGATGATCACAGAAGCAAACTAAATTAGTGCAAGATGAGAATCAATTGTTGGAAAATATGCTCCGGACATTGCTTCAGGAGCTCGTGGTATGTTTTTTTTTTTGTGCTGCATATTGAAGGGGCAGTTTTTTTAGTTAATATTGATAATTGTGGATTTTCTTTTCTTGTTCATTTTGTGTGAGCTGAGAGATTTTACATTTTTTTATGCAGTCATCTTCTGCGCAGTCGAGGGAGGAAATAATGTTGTATGGGAAGTCCATTGATGATGGTGAAGACTCACATGGTCAAATTCCTCGTCTGCTAGGTATATGCTTTTAATTGTTATGTAGTTCCTCTGCTCGTGCTCAGGATTCTGAATTAAGTTGTGTTAAATTGTGATGAAGTGTTCTACAAGATTAAATAAATAAAAAGTGATATAATTTGATTTCTTCATTAATGACTGGTGAAAAATATTTTTGAGTTGGTTTGATTTGAGCATTCCCCTATAGATGCAGAGTGTTACATAAAATAGGACCTGCATATTGGTTCTGTGAGAGCTGGTTTATTGTGTTGCCTCCATCTGGTTTTTAGTTGATTGAGAGAATCCATGCAAAATAGAATTGCTTAGTTCTGCAAGAGGCTATTTACTTTTATCAGTTCTTTTCCACATAGGCTTCCAATAAATTGTGAATTGGATCTAAGATGAAAATTGATGTGGATTGGGTCTAAGACAAAAATTGATTAATGTCCACATGGATTACAAATTTTGTGTTTCATCTTGGTTTATTTTTGAACAGCTAAACCAAGCAAGAGTAGATTATATTTTAACACTTATTGACATGATATACAAATGTGCAAAACTATAGAAGTGCTGGTTCACAGACATTTTTGCGCCTTTCCTTTACAGAAATTTCATGATTTTAAAATGTAATTTGTTAGACAAAACTGGACCAAAAGTGCTCCCACGCGCTAGGTTCTGGTGGATGGAGCTTGAAAGAGTTCTGCAAATCCTTGGAACTGTCATCTTTGTGATGTTCCTTTCAACTTTGAGTTAATTTTGCTTGTGTCATGCAGTGCTCTAATTATTGCACGGATTGTTGAGGGGTTGATGCAAGAGCTATAGATTCCAGAAGTATAAATACTGTTGAAAATCCCTCTTTAGCAAACCATTCTTTCTCTGGGACAAGACTTGACAAGACTCCTAGAAGTTGTCTGAATTTTCTAACTGATATTTTAGCAGCGAGTGACCAATTATCATGCTTGGCGATGTATTATTCTTCTTATTTATGATTTTATATTATAACATCAATCTCAAGGATTTCTTCTGGTGGATTTGAATAGGGCTTGAACAAATGATGTAGCTGTTTCATTACTTTTTGCATATATCTTATTAATTTATAATTGCTTTTCAAAGTTTTAACTTCTTTTTGGGCTACCAGATGTTGTTCTATATCTCTGTGAGAGAGATTTTGTTGAGGGTGGTATGATATTCCAGTTGTTGGAAGATTTGACAGAAATGTCTACAATGAGAAATTGCAAGGATATTTTTGGTTACATAGAGAGTAAGCAAGATATACTTGGAAAGGTACATGCTTTCAGATTGTTCCAAGTTTTTGTTTATATTTTTATCCATGTTCATGATTTTGATTAGACTCTCCAACACCAGTCCTGCATATTCAATTGCAACTAACCATTGTGTTTATTTTGATGATTGCTTTTCATACAGCAAGAACTTTTTGCTCGTGGAAAACTTGTGATGTTGAGAACATGTAATCAACTTCTCCGACGCCTTTCAAAGGTAGTTTAATGTATTGATATATGTGGTACATACATAAGCATAATTTCTTGTAAGCTAACCTGTGTCAACAAAAGAATTTGTATTGGCTCTGTCTTGACTATTTC